TATTAATTATTACAAATGTAATAATTATTCAAATAAAACATCGCACATTGAATTTATATAATCATATATATTAAATATATGACAAATATAAATAAACAAAATGAACGTTTAGTTAATTATTTTCTAATGATTTTACAAACCCGACAAATGTTTTGAAAAAAAAACCAACACATAATTTAAACAAATAAAATTAAGTTTTAATTAAATGTTTAATGTAAATCTCTCAAATTGGCACAGTCCAATAAATCTTTGTTTTAATTAAATTTATTATTGGTAACAATGTTCGTGACTATATTCATTTTTTTGTTTCGAATAAACAAAATGAGAATTTAACTCTTTTTTTTTTTTTTTGAGAATGCGACAGACAAACTCCGAGCAAACAAGCGATAGCTTGAGCAAGCCTAAATAGATAACGAGCTGATAGTAACATTATTTAATTTTCAGCGACTCTTCACAATCTTTCTCTCTCTCTCTTTCTCTTTTTGTATCTAATTATAAGTCACCGTTTCTACATATAATAAATATATATAAAATTTGTTGATTCGCATCATATATTCGGTGCTCAAAGATTATAATCAATTTTCTAATCCCTCTTGCTTACTTTTTCTAATTTAATTTTTTTTTTTTCAATTTAAAATAATCACCCAAACGATTTTAATTAAATGAATTTTTATTCTAATCACAATTGCAATATAAATTAATAATAAATATTACGTAGGAAAGTGGTGTGTAAAATTTTAAAACATGTTTCGAAAAAATACGAATAATTTTTATATTAGATTATCGGAACATTTTTTTTTCAAATGTGCATGAATAAAATAGAAAAAATAAAGAAGAAAATAAAACCATAAATTTGTAAATAGAATTTCGTTATTACCCCCATTATCTTTCAATCTTATCCTAACATAGTTTTTAAATAACAGAAATAAGTTTGTTTTAAACAAGAATCATGTTACGTATTCCAGGATGAAAATTTATCTGAAAAAGTATAAAAGGTTTTTTTTTGTTCTGAATACTCGTAGAAGATGCTACCTTACACGTATTACGTTTCCCAAATAAAATAAATTGAAATGAAGATCGTGAGTGAGTGTTTATGTGTGTGTGTGTCTGTGTAAATTCTTGTATGACCGAGAACTATCGAGTAACATATTATACTGAATTTTTTAAGAAGATTGAAACTGACGAGTACAAGGGAGACACAATATTATATTTTCTTAACATTCTATTTCTAAGATCAACTAGTTGTATATCTATGATATCACGTTTTATACTCTTCCGTGTTAGAAATAAGAAAACAAATATTTATAATCCAACTACAAACTCGTTAGAAATCGATCGATTAATGTTATTAACATCGGATAAATTGTATTTTATCATCGTAAAATATATTGTAATACTTGAAAAAATATCAATTCAAACATAGTCTGAATCTTAAACGTTTTTTGATAATATTCATGATTTTTGTTCTAATAAAAAAGAAATGAATTGAATTTTGTTGTCAATTCTTTCAAAACTTTGAGTATTTTCGGATTGAGTTAAATCAAATGATTTAATCCTAACGTGATTTAAATTATAATAATAATAATAATAAATAAAATAAATATAT